TCCTCGGTGCAAAATAAAATATTATTTAATTTGATGGGATTAACCCTTAAAATGGAGTGAAATTGAGTAGAAAAAAAAAGTGAATTTTGTTATTTGGATGCAAGTTAAAACATTGATAAAGATTTTCTTATTGAAAAAAATATTTCTTTTTAATATAAAAACTCTCAAAAAAATTTAAAAACTTATATCCAAATAGATTTTGAATCAATAAATAAAATATAAAATTTTAATTTTTTAATTGTTTAGTTATATGAAAAAGAAAAAAGAAAAATAATAAAAAATTAATTATAAAAGACTATTGTATTTTCTAATACAATTTATAACAAGCATTGTGCTTGAGACCTAATTATGTAATAAGTTATCACTTAAAAAAAAAAAGAAAAAAGATTGGACTGTTGTTAATAAAATAAATAAAAAGTCAAAGTCAAAATATTTTTTTAATCTTTATAATTTCTCTTATTTTATTTTTTCTACCTATAATTTAAAATAAATTTTTTTAATTCATAAATTTATTATTTTTAATCTTTTTTAGTCCTTATAGTTTAAGATAAATATTTTAGTCTATTTAATTACAATTTTTTTAATTTTTTTAGTTCATATCATGAAACTTTTTTGTAACATTTTATGTTAACATAAAGTGTAGAAAAAAGTGTTCCAATAATGAGTATCATAAATGAAAGCACAAAAGAGGCACGAAATATCAAGAAACTTAATTTAGAGTAACAACAAAATAAATTCAAAATTAAACACAAAAAGTTAAACTATGTATAAACACAAAAAAAAAAACTTAAAATAATAATAATAAGAAAAAACTACAAGCATGGGATTAAAAATCTATTTTAAATTATAGAGACTAAAATTAATTAAAAAAATATATAAAATAAAAAAAATCTTTTAAATTATAAAAAATTAAAAATAAAATAAAAAATTATAAAAATTAAAAAATATTTTACCCTAAAGCTTGTACCGATATTTCTATTTCCATTTCAAATCACGACTCACTTGAGAAATTTTTTGGGTGGGACTTACTAAATATTTAACATTTTTTTATCTTAATTTCTCTCTCAAAACAAATAAGGGAAAGATTCAAATCTATCACAATTCACTCCTTCTAAAATAATTATTTCCCTACCAATTCGACGAAAACAAACAAAATTATAAGGGATAAAAAGTAAGGAATTAGATAAATTGAAAAAAAAAACATGTTTATTCTTTTAATATTTTAATATTACAGTAATAAAACATTTATTCTTCTCAAATAAACAATCTTCATATTCCTATTATATACATGCTCAGAAGAAAAGATAAGACTTAAGAGCATAGGTACTAATAATGAAAAGGAAAGACCAATATTAAATGACCCTTTTAATTTTGTCATCTGACAATTATGATTTGTACTTAAGAGTGTAACTTTCAGTTTAGGTAAATGAACACTTTTAATTCTGTCATCTGGCAATAATATATTCTTTACTTCTTAAAGTGTGACTTTCATTTTAGGTAGTCTAAATTTTAATGTAGTTATATGTGGGTAGCGTTATTTTACAGAAATTAAATTAACATTGTTTTTTGTTTTTTTGTTTTTTATTTTTTGCCACTCCTGGAACAATTTTTTTGGGATATAAATAAAGTAACATAGTAATACTCCCAGGTATCATTTTATTTTATTTGACGTTCAACATTTCGATGAATTAAGAAATAAAATTAGCATTTTAATTTTTTAAAAATTATTATATAAAATTTTAATTATTATTTATTTTTATACTAATTATATTTTTAATTATCTATTATTATTTTTTAACTTTCACTGCATAATAAATAGTTAAAGATACAACAAGTAAAAATATTTAGACTTCATTGTTATTGCAAAATAATAATTAAAATTAAACATTTTTTTAGTTTTTTTCGGGTTGACATTTTTTAGTTTAAACATGCAACTAAATAAAACAGAAGAAATGCATATATTAAGTAGAAAGATTATTAATGACAATCAAAGCGTTTTTTTTTTTCACCTAGAAACTATAAACAGTTAATATTTAGTAGTAAATACAGTACAAAAATAGAAATATAATATTTTAAAAATCTTAAAAGTATTTAATGCGTTTTATTTTAGTACTGTAATTTGGTGTGAGTAATTTATTGAAATCTGCTACTAATGTAATGTATGTTGATGACAATAATAAAGAAAATTAAAATAAATCTCATGAATAGAGCGGAGTCATCTAAACTATTGATTAATAACTAGTTCAAAATAAATGATTAAAAATTAAAAAATATATATATATATTAATTAATACAAATAATAATAATTTTGTGTTCATAGTTAAATTGTCTAGAATTTAAATATATGCATTAAACATGAAATAACATAGTATGTTGTAAAGAAAACAGTTATGATGTGTTTGGATGAGAAATTTTACAAATTCAAAGAATTTTAAATTCTTGGTATTTGAATTACTTTGATTTCAATTTCTATCATTCTTAAAATATTTTATTTGGATAAGTCAATTTAAAATTTTCAAATTTTAAATTGTTGGGTTGAATATGATAATTTGATTCCACCATGGTAAAATTATTTTTAAAAACATATTTATATGTTGAGATTTTTAAATTAAATTTTATAAAAATAAATATTAGCTAATTTTTAAATATTTAATAATTTAAAAAA